GAGAGGTGAGGGAGGGACGGGGTTCGTGTGCACGCACGGAGTAGACGCGGTGTCCTCGATCCTTTGTACATGCGAATTTTGTTCTGGCTAGACGAGTCAATGGGACACGCGCCATGCATCAAGAAGTGAAAAAGAACAAAGAGAGTGGCACGCCGCTCTCAAAACAAAGTAGAGTTTAAACAAACACAAGCAGCAAGGCCTATCACGCACAAAAATGACACGTGTTGGTAATGGAGCTGAAACATTTGGCTGAGCCATTTCAGTCAAGTCTTGGTTGATCTTGGTTATGACGCGGTGCAGGTCCCTTCTGGTTGGAAGCGGAATGATATCAAGACGACATGCTCAACTGGTGACGCGATTGGTTGCACATGCTATTCAGCAGCTTGCTTGCAAGAGATGTGGTGACGGTTGATTCAGGTGCACTCCGGTTGGTGTTTCCACGCGCAACATCCCCCCATTTGAAGCCAATGAGGCATGCGAACGTTAACAGTTTGAAGCCAAGGACGCGGTCCAATTAGCTCATAACCCCTAGGCTTGGCGTGTGAAGAACAAGTGCTATGACTCCAACCACAAGAACAGCGCCGACTTCTTTGCCCCGACGAACGGTGAGTGCAAGCGCTTCTTGCCTCAGACGGTGTGAGCGGACGGGATGGGTGGCAGCGAGGAGATGTCTAGAGTGGGGAGTCTAGAGGATTGTAGCTGTCTCAGTCTAGAGACCAGCTAGATAGCCCTCTTTGTTTGATAGATACCAAAGGTCTTCTCAGAGGCCATCACTCTTAGGTTGGAGGCCATCGCTATTAGGTTGCAGGCTGGAGGCCATCGCTAGAACCAAGGTCTTCCCAAAGGTCATGGATGGTCGGTTGAGGCGCCGATCTGATCCCCAAAAGGCTTGGTTGCTTTTGCACCGCCTCCGGCCTCCACGATCCCAGGCTGGACCCCCAACCATGCCAGTAGGGCCTGGTGCTCAGGGGTCATGTGGACACGTGGTCTGCGGGCCGGCCGTTTGGGGGACGCCATGCGGCTGTGGTGTTCTCTTAAGTGATTGCTCTACGTCCGAACGTCTACGTCGATGTCTTTCGTCGACTGTCACGCACGGCTGGACTCCAGGTCTTCGCCCTGTGCTCCCACGCAACTCAGACAAGAGCGCTGGAGAGGGTGAGTTTTCAAGGGTGAAACCGTGAGTTGCGGTCACCATCTAGGAGCAAGAACGCTACTAGTAGCTCCTGGCCTTACTACTTGTAACAAGAAGCTACTAGGAAGAAAGGGCATCGCTACGAACGGAGCAAGAACGCTACGAGAGACTCCTGCGGCTTCACTGAGAGACTCCATGTGCCGGAGAAGTGGTGAAGCCAACGAACTCAGTCGGTGAACGGTGAGTGGTTAGGGGAAAGCACTGTTAATTACCTGGTAGTGGGGAGGTGGCTTCTTCTTTGTTTGAAACAAATGAGTCGAGAAGGAATGCCTGCAAGAAGGCCATGTACCAATTCAACGGATAAAGGCCAAGTGTTTGGATCCTACATGGCTTCTTTGAGTTCTGATGCGGTCTGTCATGTCTCACTACACTTGGGGGTTTTCAACTGGACCCCCCAATAGTGTAGACGTAGGGGCTCACTCTTCACCCTGTCAAGGCACCCTGCGGCGACTTCAACTGCGGAGGAGGCGCCAACGTTTCGAACGAACAGTCTCCCGGAGTCTCCCCGGTCTGTGGAAGCAGCTCTTCCAGGGATTTTCCGGTGGTGAAGAAAAGAGAGGATGGAGGCTTGAAGAAAAGAGTGATGGATTCAGCGTCGGTGGAACGGAGGACGAGGTTTCAATTTCAGATTTGGTCATGGTGCTCCCCCGAGACAAAGTTGAGGGTGAAGCATAAGTAGCCCCTTTTGGGTGGTGGGAACAGCGGGACGTTCGAGTTCAGGAGCTGACCGGATTCACAATGCGATCGGCTCCACGTTTGTCGGGACGCCAAAGGGAAAGACTAAAGGCAGGATTTGTTCTGGCTTTTGATCTTCTGCAAGCAAGGCCTTCAGAAGCCAATACCCACCGTGCTTAAAATGTTAGAAAGATATTGGTCCAACTTGTACATTGGCATGGATAATTGTTCGTTTGTTGAATGTTCTGACGGTTCACCATGGATCTCATCGTGAACGGCCTGTACTGAGGGCAAGTGTTGCAAGTGCAAGTCTGGCTTTATAAAGGTCGGCGATGCGTGCAAGGCGGGGTGTCAACGATCGGACATGTCTCCGATAGGCTCTGGGCGATCCTAGGTCCTGGCATTCTTGGAGCCCAAAGCCTTGATCTATTTTGGTTGCAACATTAAACATGGTCCTGAAGCAAGACAAGTCATCCGTTCGGGCGATTCCTATCTATTTTCCTTTCACGCGTCCTTAGACTCCGGTCTTGTGGAGTCTGTTTCTTGCCTCGCCAGACGGAGCACCGTGTGGACTCCGGCTGGTCCCACTGGGGTGACGACAAACGAGCGCATGCTCTTTGGCTGAGAACGTTCCGTCGGTTGGGCGACCAGCGGGCTGCGGCGAGTTGGTCTACGACGGGACGACTTGCGCAATTTGTTGGGCGTGTGCACGTTACAAAAGAGATGACCTGACGAGACACCATTAACATGGGCGTGACACGGGCGACGGAATCGTGCACGGAGTGCTCTTGGGCGGGAAGGGTGACCAACAGGATTGTGGCAAGTGGATTGAAAGAGAGTCTTGACCCCGCAGCTACAATGTTTTAAAGCACCGCAGCAGCAATGATCATCACAACAACATGACACCGGGTGACTCCGGCAACACTGAATGAGCAGTTTCGCCATGTCCTGCCCAACTTAGCATCGCTCGTGTGCCACGAGTGGCAGACTCCCTGGTTGGAGGGTTGAGGCGTTGAATTGTCATAGAAGAGAGTCGGTCGACTCCTTACTAGAGATGATCTCTCCTACATATTGAGTTTCTGAATTCGAAGAAATTGGACGCCGCGGGGATTTTGGAGAAGAAGTTGAGTGCTTCCTACCTTCAGGTCTGGTGCCCTGAGGGTATGTATGCCCGGGGAGCCCGGCCGGACCCCGGACCGGACGCGAAGGAACGGGGACCGTGCGTAACGGGGTCGAGACAGTCAGGGGACCGGGGCCAGTTGATTCCGCTTGGCAGGGCGCATTGTCCAACTCAAGTGTTGGATCTAGTCTGAGTTGATCTCGTCCATTCAGTCTGAGTTGGACAGATCTCAGCGACTTCCTTGAGTTGCACCTGTCAAGTTGCGCAGCTGATCGGTCATGCAGCGCAAGCTTGACCAGTATTCTCCGTCACCTTTCTGGCATGCATGTGACCAGTCATGCACTGCACCGAGGTCAAAAAGTGTTGGGGAGGCGCTCTTGACCCTGCAATTTGGGAGTGGGTTCCGTGCTTCCGGGAGCGACCCATCTTATTGGGGCACAGAGAGAGGTGAGAAGATGTCTGCATGTCCGTGCTTTGGACAGTCAAACATGTCAGCATCATTTCTTTTTGGAATATATACATATCATATATATATATGTATATTAATATAAATATTGAAGGCTGCAGATAGAGGAGGGCCTACAATAAGCATTTTATGACCTTTTGGAAGGCCACTAGTTTTGACAATCTGAGACTACGAACTGAGCTGGCCTATCCTGATTGGCTGATGGAAGGCTTCGACGGCGATGGAAACTTCGTGGATAAGGGGGGGAGACGATGCACTGTCGTCCCGGCTATCACTTCCCATGGACTTGAGAGGGAGGACGGAGGTTGCTGCGTTAAACTGTTGACCCCAGCCCATCAATCAACATGTGTTTCATACTGTAATGGAACAAACATATGTTTTCATTCCCAATGCCAAATCTTTTACAGTATCCTTCGAAAGATGTCGCTCTTACTTTGGTTTTTCAGCTCTTTCCACACCACGACAGTGCCTGGCCCGGCCTGCCAGTCCCAATCTACTGGTGGCAAACGTGTGAGGGCGCATGCCGATTGCTGGACGACCAAGACAGTGCCAGAGGCAGACAGCGTCGATGCGGGCCGAGCGCACGGGTGAGTGTGGCTCCATGTCCGACATGTGAATGATCCTCTATTTAAACAATTGCCAGTCATTTTGACTCATTTTTACTAAAATGCGTTTTGGAACCTCATTTTATGGAGAGGGTATTGGTTTACAGTTTTGGGAACTTTGACAACATTTTATGGAGGTGGTTTTCGTTTGTTCTGGTGGCCTTTCTTGGCCGTGTGAACCCTTGACAATAATTTTATAGAGAAGTAGGGTGCTGTAACATGCATTGTTCCCAACAGCAGAATGCAGTTGGGTTTCAATCCCCGGGGCTCCAAAACCGGAATTCCGTCCTGGAACCCTAGCTGCTGTCTGGAACCTTGGGTGCTGTCTGGAACAGTTGGGTTTCAATCTCTGGGGCTGGGAGTGGTGCGCATGGTCCACGGCCACGGGGCTTGAAAACAGGGATTCCGTCCTGGAACTGGAACCCCGGATCCTGTCTGGAACCTTGGTGCTGTTTGGGCTGAGACTTGTGAATGTCTCTTTAGGCTGAGAGTGGTGCGCAGATTGTCCAGAGCTGTTTGGAATGTTGGGCTGAGAGTGGTGCGCAGATTGTCCACATTTGTCTGGAATTTGGGGCGCTGTGGTGCGCAGTGGGAAGGTGGGTGCTGTTTGGAACATTGGGCGCTGTCTGGGCTGGGAGTGGCGCTTGAAACCCAGGGAGATAAACAAAAAGATATAATATACGAATATAAAAACATAAGTAAACAGATATATACATTTTTTTGATTTTGGTGGCAGTGCTTAGTGTCCCGCCTTGGAACTTCGCTGCCTTGATCTCTTTGCATTGCACTGTAGATTTTGCAGTTTGTGCGCGGTTTTCAGGCTGACCCGGCTTGCTTTGTCATTGAGCATGGGCACAAGCCAAGTGGAGTAGAGCAGAGGAGCCCAAAAAAGGGTATATCGTATGATTGTGACATGGTGGGTGAAAAGGAAAGAGAACGGGCGGCTAACTGCAATCTCTGGCGCTTGGGAGCCCTGTCTGGTTGGGAGTGGTGTGCAGCATGAAAAGCGAAAATTGATCCTGGAACACTGGGGGGTGGTGCTGTCTGGAACCTTAGGCGCTGTTTGGGATGGGAGTGGTGCGCAGTTGTTTTAGGGCTTGAAGCCGGCATTCACCCAAATTTTGAGAATTTCGGGCGAAATCTGCGGTTGGGTGTGGTGTGGTTCTGGCGCCTCGGGCGCTGGCTTGAAACCGGTCTGCATCATGAGTGGAACTTTTGGAGCCTTGCGTGCCGCCTGGGCTGGGGGTGGTGCACTTTGTCTACAAGGCTTGAAAGCCGGAATTCAGCCTTGTGTGCTGCGTTCGGGGGGGCGGGCAGAAAAACATGCATTTCAGAGAAACACGCTCAGAGCTGGAACCTAGCTGGTGCTGATGTGTTCGCGCTTTAGATTTTGCAGTTTGCCCGGATTTGAGGTTGTCGACCTGCGTTGTCATTGAATATGGGCACAGTTGGGTTTCAATTTCAGAAAACGACTTACCAGCGTCCGGAATTCCTTTGTAAATTCGGCGCTGTTGTGTTGGAACCCTTGCTGTCGCCCTATGAAGAACTTCTTCTTTGCGGTGCCTCCTGCCTCCATTGCGGGGCATTCGTTTTACACATCACCATAGTTCTTAGCGCAGAAATGCCACTGTCTTGCACGCGCCTAGCAGGACTTTTCCTCGCCGTCAACAACTTTTTCCACTTCTGTGCCTCCTGCCTCCGTTGCGAAACATTTTGCTATGCCACGGCTTGCGTGTATGCTGTTGCACTTGTGGTGTGCTTTCTGTTCCTGTTACAGTTTATTCTTTCTTCGCAGTAAAACCTTAGTAGGACCAATAGCGCGGCAGGTGTTTGTATGTTCCTAGCAATGCCGTCGTGGTGCGCTTTCCTCCTCCCTGCTCCGGACCGTCGATTGGGTTTGCAACGAATACTTGGAGTTTTTGAAAAATTCAAGTCAATTGAGTTGCTACCTGCTGGGCTGCATAGCTGGGTTGAGTCCCTACTAGAGATCTGGTTTGCGTCTGTACATCGTCTGGTGTGCACACCTCATCTCTTCCCGTCTCTGTTCTTCATTTGTTTTCGCCTCCACCTCTGTCTCCCCCGTATGGGAAGAAAACACAGATACACAAGGCAATCCCAAATGGGAATAGACAAACCCACAGAACCTTCATATGTGGTGATATATTTTGTCACCTTAATTACTGTAATGTTATCTCACATTTTTTTGCTTTCATTCAGGTTATAAAGGCTGCGCTTGTCCATCCCTCAAATCCCTCAAGTGACCTGTAACTAGAGCTGCGTCTGGCTTGGCTGTTAAGAACACACGCTTGCCCTTGCCTGTCATTTTATAGATATGTTGTTCCTATAGGTTCATGGGGGACGCAAGTATATGTCCGTTCAGCATGTTCGCCAGTACAAGGCTTGTGTTGGCAGCCTTTGCGCACACAAACACCTCTCTCTCTCTCTTTTTTCTCGCTCTCTCTCTCTCTCTTTTTTCTCGCTCTCTCTCTCTCTCTTTTTTTCTCGCTCTCTCTTTCTCTCTCTCTCTCTCTTTTCTGTCTCTCTCTGTCTGTCTCTCTCTCTCTCTCTGTCTGTCTCTCTGTCTCTCTCTCTCTCTCTCTGTATCTCTCTCTCTCTCTCTCTTTCTCTGTCTCTGTCTCTTTGAACCTGACTATAAATCGGAACCAGTCCTCTATCACATTTTTGGATGGTACTGTACTCCCTCGGAGATCACAAGCTTTATACCTTGGAGCAACGTTGAGAGATTCCGTGGATAACCATACAGAAGTTATACGTCGGATTGGCTCAGTTAATGCTATGGCTTCACAGCTACAGCTTTTTTGGTCCAAAGCTGGTACAACCGTAAAGTGGAGATTACGAGTGTTTGAGGCCACCCTGAGTTCCAAGCTTCTACATGGGCTAGAGACCATGCAACTTACAAAGTCAGAACTAAACTCAATAGATGCTTTTCAGATGAAGATGCTGAGGAAAATTCTCACGGTACCTTCCACGTATATTGACAGAGCATGGACAAACCAACGAATATATAATAGAAACCTTATCTCAACAATTCGGATACCGGCATGTCAGTCTCTCGAACAGATGGAAACTAAACAGAATTCGCCTGTTAGGGCACATTCTCCGTGCGCCCCCTCTTGACCCTATGAGAGAAGTCCTTTTCAAATCAGGAACTTTCACACCTCGGATCGAACATACCCGACGAGTAGGCAAACCGCGAGCTAATTGGCTGCTCCAAACATGTCAGGATGCGTGCGCACTCATTAACCCACATCTACCTATGGACATGGCTGGAACATACCAATGCAATGGAAAACCAAAACTTTCATCGAACTCATCGAATGTCATCGAACAGCTCCCTGCTTGATTGATGACTGTTGAGTCCCGAAAATCTTACATCTTCCCTAAGTACTGGCACTGGCGTGTGCGATATCCTTTTCTGGGCGGTTCCTGCAAGTGCGCCGCAATGTCTTTGTTGGCCTCTGTGATAACAGCACAGAGCGTAAGGCTCGAATAATCTGACTTTTTCTTTGGGCGTTCAGTGAAAGCTGGGCAACGCTCAGCTCAAATCAGAGTAGCGTGCCAAAAGAATGATGAATGATGAATGCTGTCTGTCTGTCTGTCTGCCTGCCTGCCTGCCTGCCTGCCTGGCTGGCTGGCTGGCTGGCTGGCTGTCTGGCTGGCTGTCTGTCTGTCTGGCTGGCTGGCTGTCTGTCTGTCTGTCTGTCTGTCTGTCTCTTTCCTCTGTCTGGCTTTGTTTCCCTCTCTCTGTTCTCTCGCCAGAAGCTAGTTGGATTCGTGGCACGTGGGCATAGTTTCCGGGTTAGTCCGGGCTTCGCACTTGCAGCGCAGGTGCCCAGTGGCTGGAAACGGAATCACATCACCACGAAATGCAAGACTGGAGATGCCATTCAATGCACCTGCTATTCAGCAGCCTGGCGGAGTATTCAGTGCTGCGTGCCGTGCTGCAGACCGGGTCAAGGGTTTGTTTTGTGTATTCACCCCTTGGAAATGTGAGGGAGAATGGCCGTCGCCCTTCACATGGATGCCACCATGGCACCATCCCGCTTCAAAGCAAATCAAAAGACTATTGCCTTTCTTGAATGGTAGGGTGACAGTGAGGGACCATCCCTTCATAGATTTCCTTCAGCTGTTGGATTCATGTCTCAAAGGTCGCCCTGGGAACACTGAGACATGCCTTCCATGGCAAGCAATGATCAGGTTAAAGATTTTTGCAGTTGCTTGAAAGGAGGCCTCCAAACAGCTAGGACCCGTTTTCAACCTCCAAACAGCTAGGACCCGTTTTCAATACCACTTATTTAAGTGGAATCAAAGGGTAGACCACTGACCATGCTGAGGCCTGGAGGGTGAAGAACAAGTGCTATGCCCCCAACAAAAAGAACAGCGCCGACCATTTTGCTCCGACCAACGGCGAGTGCAAGCGCTTGGGGCCTCGGCGTCGCCAAGGTTGAGAAGAGGGCGAAGGTGAGCAGTGTGATAACCGACCTGCTTTGTAAACAAACAACTCCTACCAAATTACTACCATGGACCAGCGTGATCAAAGTGTGAACAAACTGGTCCAGGATGATCCGTTGACCCAACGGCTTTCAGCTGAGCAGCTTCAGCACGAGCGGTGTGCTGAGGTTGGACTCCCAACCACAACAGCCAGGCCCGGATGGGCTTCGTCCACGTGGGATCACGTGGGCATTTTTTGGGACTTCTCCTGTGGAGAGACGAGCTCCTACACGATCCTTGAAAGCTCAGTCGATGTGGAGAAAATCATTGGACCTGATGTTTTATTTTTCTTACCTCAACATTTGGAGATCATGTAGAGTGTATTGGACTGTAGAGGTTATTATTTGTGATATCTCTCTATGATTTGGCTGATCTTTGCTGATGAGGTCTATGCATTGTGCTCCCATGCTGCTCAGCTGAAGAGGAGGTAAACTGAGTGAGGGAAGACGAGCATGCTTCGAAAGAAGAATGATAGGAGGGGCTTTGGCAAGGAAGTGCTGAGACAAAGCAAAATGAGATGCATCGGTAGTATTCCTTTGCCTTTCTTGATTTTCATAGTCCCTTTCTCGAGCGTTTTCTCTCTTCCCGAGTGTTAGAACATATTCCTTGGAGGATGATTGGTTGTGAATACCGGCCGATAACTGAACAGTGGTGCGATGCTAGCAAGAGAATGCAAGAGCACTGCATGAATCTTCGCGACAAGCACTTCTTCCTTGCAGTTGTGACTCCTGCCAGCTAGACATCATTTTGCGATCGCAATGCGGTGTAAGTATCCGCAGCAGTACACGCTCTTTTCGAGCATTCCTAAAGTTCTTTGAGCGCGCCGCCACATGTTTTGGTTCCCTTACCATGGGTCTGGGATTGTCCAATCTGGTGAAATACCCCATTTCAGTACACACGACTTTTGCAACATCACTCTATCAGCTGGGTATCGGTGTCGAAACATGTGCAGGTGATATTTTGCGTGCAGACATGGATGCCGGCCTAGGCACCCTGTGGCAACTTCAATTGCGGATCAGGCACCAGGGTTCCCCTTGCTGCTCTGGTGGGTGAGTGAGCCGACATCCGGGCCCGACATCAACCATGAGATGGTGGGATACGTGTGGTGAGGGTCGAATGTATGTGAATGAGAAGGTTCCAGAAGAACACAAGAGACTCCGGAGTTTCCTATTCTCAACTTCGCTGCTTGAGAATCTTTCGCTTTTGGATTTTGGATGTTCCTAACCAACCTTGAAGCACGAAAGGCGCGCTTTCTTTGTCAGCTTTTCTCGCTGCAGCTGTTTTTTCTTGGAACTTCTTGATACACACACCAAGGACTCCATCTTCATGGGACAGATTTTTGGATCGTTGATGGGACCAACTCCAGGGCCCATCGTTTGTAGCACGAATTGGTTTCGATTTTTGGATGCGTGTTCTACTCCAGGAGTAGAACAACTGAGCAGATGGATGCCTTTTTCCATCAGAACTTCTGGTGCTTATTCCACCTATCTGGTCCTCCCTCCACAAGGGCCCGACGACTCGTGCATGAGAGGTGCCGATCCCATGCCCCATGCCATTGGCTCGACCTTTGTCCGGGGGCCCAAGGGGCCAAGCCTGCGAGTTTGCATCCGTGAAACAAGGAGAAGACTTTTATCATCCACATTTTTCAATGTGGTTCCTTTTCCCAGTTTCAGTTTGTTTGGATCGATTTCGGAGTTGCCCTGCTGAGGGCAAATGCTGCAAGTGCAAAGCGGGGAAGGTGAGAGTTGGCAACGACTGTAAGGCACGCGCGTGCTCTGCAGCCTACCCGGGCCTTCAGTTGTTGCTGGTTGTTGTGTTGTTGCCACTAGTACACCTTGCTGTAGATGTAGCTTGAATTGTGGGACATTCTTTAGGTTTTGTTGGTTCAAGGGACAGTGATTTCATGGAGCAACAGAACCCTAAGAGGTTCTTCTGCAAACGAGCAACTCCTAGCCGAACTCAAACGTGAGATTCGGATCCTTTCTTTGTTTCAGGACGGCTACAATTCAATAGCTTATAATAACTATTCACATCCGTTTGGGATGTCATCGTGACATAAGCTCCATTGGGCTGGACTCTGTCAGCAGAGAGATCTGTCCCTGGAATCGAAGATTTAAGGCCTTAGCTACATGAGCAGAGTTTCCGGCACACTTGAACCACTTCCCAGACTCCCATGTGTGATGACGTTGCCAGCCAAGCTTTACTTGCTTGGTCCATGCCCTTCTACACCCCGTGTGCCTTTTTGAGTCATTGGCACTTTTAATTGGAACCACGGGGTTGGTTTGCTCGAAGTTGGCAGGTTTGGATGGCTGAAAGATTCTGCCCAATACATCAATCAAAAAGCCTTGGACATGTCTTGGATTTGTTTTTTCGTTTGTTCCCATGCAATGAACAAAGGTGGAATCCATGTCTTTTGGGTACCGAAAGAAGGGGCCTCTCATCCACCGAGTTCCCTCCAAGCGCCCCGCCCCAGACGGATCACCATGTGGCATCGGGGTGGTCTGCATGGGGAGATGACAAACGAGCAGAGGCTGCTTGGCGTCGCGTCCGTGCGTCCTGCGTTTCAGATATGGACCGAGGGGTTGATTGCGTGGGACCGAGGGGTTGCCTTTGAGGAGCGGAGGTGCTGGACCCATGCAGAAACCAAGTGTACTGGAGGATGAAACTCACCTCCATGCGATCCATGCATCTTACCATAGTTTCAGCCAGATGGATGTTGAGATGGAATGCTTCAAGGCTGAAAGGGTGACGTATCTCCCTGAAAGTCTGAAGCCGCTTCATCATGCTGAAGGCTGATGTTTCCCCATATCTGGTTCTTTTGGTTTAGTGAACACTCCTGTTTTTTCCAGGGCCCGCAACGTGTTTCTTCAATCCAACCAGCGAGTTGAAGCAGCCGCCCGAGGCTTGGTGCCCCGAGGGCATGTATGCCGGGGTCTGCAGCCGTCCATGGTTTCCGGACGCGTGAAGGATGGGGACAGGTTTCAAGCAAGAAGTTGCCGTCCATCCAATAAGCACGATGGTGAACAGATGGTGCTTGGAAGATGATTTTTCTCCAAGAAAGGGAATTGTCCACTTCAGCCTTTTTTGGGTGGGGCCTTGTATACTTTTTGATATGTATGTGGGGATGGGGTGTGCGTGGAACACGCACATTCGGGGGATCTTGGGAAGCTGCTTGTGTGGGGGTGATGTGAGATTCACATAGGCAGACCCGCGGAAGTACGGTTTTCAGTAGACACATCCGCAGCTTTTGGGGCACCAAAGTTGCAAGCGCAGATCACTGAAGTCAGTCTGGAGATTCGTGAAACTTGAAAATGTTCGATTCCACCCATTCGTACTAGCGATGGCCTCCACCCTAGTAGCGATGGCCTCCACCCGGACGGATTCTTCTTTGCCTCTGCAAAGAGTCCTCGCCGTTTGCGCTGAGGCCAAAAAGTGCTGGGGAGGCCGTGGCCGGGCCGACCGCTATCCACTATAACTAAATGCTGTGCGTGTGCAGGGAGGTGTTGAAGTTCACCAGCTGTGGTTCATATGGTTTCCGATCCGCGTCCACGTGTGCGTGTGCTTCAGCGGCCTGGCGGAAGGCTTCAACGGCGATGGAAACTTTGTGGATAAGGGGGGGAGACGATGCGTTGTCATCCTGGCTATCGTGTTTGCCCAACGGGACGATGGACTTGAGGTCAACTGCTCCAACCTTCTGCTGTATTTGCTGTGCTGAGTTTGACCTTGTGACCCCGAACCTTTGACCTTCTCCTTTGCAACATGTTGCCGGACCACGATTTCCATCCGGGCGTTTGCCACCGCTGCCAGTCCCAATCTACTGGTGGCACTCGAGTGAGGGCGTTCGTTGACTGCTGGACCACCAAGACGGAGCCCCAGGCTGGGAAGATGGGCCCCTCGCTCCTGGTTCTTCTCGAAAACCATTTCCACGGACGTTTCGATGTGCCAATTGGTTCAGACGCTGTTGCGTGACTGATAGTACTGGTAAATTTACCAAGCAATCATTGAATCAACACCAATGCCAGTCCGTTGGGCGGTTGATTTCCTTTGATGTCGCTTCCAGATTTGCAAAGTATCTATACTTTCCGTTCACGGCCTGTCGGTGTGGAAGGTTGCACAACTTGGCGTTTACTCCCAGCATTTGCAAATCTCATGATGACTTGTGTGCACGATGTAAGTCGTTTGCCATGGGTGTTGCATCGTGACAGCTCCCGTTCTGTCGTGCGCCTTTCAGGGTACCCATGGCTGGAAGAAAAATCACATTGCCGTAAGATGCAAGAGTGGTGATGCCATTGGATGCACGTGCTATTCAGCTGCCTGTTCGCATTTGGGGGGTGTTGGACGGTGCTTGAAGAAAGGTTTGGAGGGAATCACGCTGTGAAGGGGTTTCCTAAATTCCGAGCAGGATTGTACCTGTTCCAAAGCATTACCCTCCTGCAAGAAGGCACGCCCGGAGGCAGAAGACACCAAAAGGGACACCGAAGTATCCAAAAGACCCTCCAAGGCGCAGAGGGAGAGGAGTGGGCCGGATGCCCGACATGTCGCAGTTTGGTCCAATTGCTTGGAGTACAGTGTAGCTCAAGGCCTGGCGTGTGAAGAACAAGTGCTATGCCTCCAACCGGAAGAACTCCGCTGACTTCTTCACCCCCACCAACGGGGAGTGCAAGCGCTTCTTGGGCCGAAAGGGAGTGTGGGAGGCGCGACCATCGAAATTTCTGGTATTTTGTGACTGGCATCAAAATCACTCCTACTCCACTCCCCCCCCACACTTGGTTCTGGTATACAAAGCCACACACACAAAACTAACATAATTCAACATGTCCTTGGTACCAACAGAGGCAGATGCACCACAAACCATCGAAAAAAAACAGAATGATTACATTTCATTCTTGTTATTCCAAATTTGTGCAATACCCTAGTTGCAACACTGTATTATCCCTTGCCAAGTCGAGAATGGCATCATTTTCCAAACCATCCACCGTTTCGGTGCAAGCGCGGTCCTCTCCATCACGCAGTCCTCTCGGTGTGGTCCAACACACCAAGGCTGGACCCCAAACCACAACAGCAAAGTGCGGCTCTCGGAAAACGCGGCTCTTCGTGCGGCACAGCCTGCGGTGTCACAGTACATCCATTCTTGTGCGGCACAGTGGGCCAGAGAGAGAAGACATTCCGAATACGGTGATCTGGTGTGTGCTGCATATATTTATATTTTTCTTTTAAATATATTTATATAAATGTTTTTTGGTTCGGCGAACACATGCACTTCTTCTACTGGCCAGGCCATGGCAGATGTATGTCTCATGCGAATCTGAGGTTTATGCCTTGTGCTCGCAAGCAACTTGTCTGGTGATTGGGCAGGTTTCAGCTTCACCTCTCTGAGACAGTGCCAATTCCATTATGAACTATCAGTGGGTTTGTTGGGTGGAGTTATATGCAAAAAACGCAAGACCTCAATCAGGTCCTGGATGAGGTGGTCGACCGTCAAGACCACAAGTCGTCAGACCGCTTATCGCTAAGCAAATCATCCTCAACGTCAAGGGCCAAAGGTCATATTACAGTTGTTTCAGAGTAGGTGGCACAACCCCCAAGATGTCCTTTGGATGGGGGTCCATCGAAACCACCTTTTGAGGATTGTACCATCTACTCTGAAACCATTGTAACTCATAGTAGCGGCTTCGTTGTGTGTAGCCCGCTTTTACATGCGGTTTTTCAGATCCGAGCTGATTTTGCACTTGAACTTTGAACTTGACCTTCTTCAATTGTCACAAGCGGAGGAGCCTTTCGAACTTGCTGTGTTTTGATCATAGAGAGCAGGGGAGTGCGGCGTGATTGTGAGACTCAACGAAGCTACCACCATCACGGGATACCGAGTCTGATCAACTCGGCGTACCTGCAAATTTTAATGTTTAGTACAGGGCTAACACATCGCTCGATGGTGTCGTGCAGTTCACTTGGTATGTGACTTTTCAGGCCATCAACTTAGGAGGTTCTGGACTTTGACATCCTCATATCCAATTTCTCAAATCTTTCCCCAGTGTGTAGAGGGTGCATGCCAGAATTGGCGACACCGTCGAGACCCTTCGTGGGACTCTATAGTTGGCACGGGCCTTCCCGCGAGAAGCAGTGGTCCTCACTTGGAGGTACCAGAACCATGCACGCCAGAAGTGGCGCTGATCAGTGGCTCTCAGGCAGAACTTACAGTCTTTGGACAGACTGTATCTAGCTGCAATCATGCTCAGTTGCAAAGCGGCAGAAGTTGACCTGATGTAATTGATCTTTTGGATCTTCGTGTCCGGAGCTCGAGCTTAGTTTAGCCTCTTAATGTTTAGATCACTTAGGAGGATACATCTGTATTTGTGAATTTCAGCCGCAGTTTCGGTTTTGTCTTAGCAGCGAGTATACTAGCAACGCACTGATTTGGATTTTAGTGATATCCATGGCGCATTCGGGCTCGCCTCTTACCGTTGGTGCTAAAGCCAAGTCACATCCACCACGACCCAGTTGGGCGCTGGACCAGCCAGTTCCTGTACCGATGCATGATGTTTCTCATCTCACATCGACATCTTCCGATTCGATGACTTTGAAGTTCACAGGTACTATGGGACAACTGGAAATGACAGGGAATTCTACCCAACTCAGTGGTTTTTTGATAAATTCTATCAGCTTGAGAAAGAACGTCAAGGGCATCAACTCAATCTTCAGTGGATGGCCATGACCCATCAACAGTCCATGATGTTTCCGCAAATGGCTTCATTTCCAATGTGTTTCACACCCTCATCGGTTGTCGAGACACCAGCTCAACCCCCGTCCAAGAAGATCAGGCTTCTCGAAGATGCGCAGCCTTCTTTCAACCCGACACTACCCCTACTGAACCCAGTTCATGATGAGCCATCTAAGATCCAGAACTTGGTACGTCGAGAGCGACGCATTTCAGCTCAAAAACTTGTGATCTAGTTAGGCTGTACGAGCTTCAGTTGGCTAAGATGGAACGATCCTCCAACATGATTGCTGTGATGGTCCAACTTGCGACAGCACATACTTTGCTGCGCATTCTTTGCGAGTGCTTGGAATCTTTGTTGGAATTTCAGATCTTTGCGCTGAGCGCGGCGAACTGGCCCCATCAACCTGAGGTCCTTCGTCAAATGGCCCGTCAGTTAGTAGTTCTCAACGACCACGTCAACCAACTGTATCCCACATTGAATGAAGCTGAGGCACTCTTGGATCGTTCCCTTACGGTGATTACTACTCGCGGACCTGATCGTGTGAATTTCGACCCTGCGCTTCGTGACAACTGTGGCCGAGTGTTAGCTCCACTCAATCCTAATCGTTTCAATAGTCAGTTGCCCCGACAACGTTCGCGTTCTCGCGACATTGGGCGATAGATAGGTGCCCAGCATCGAGCTGAAAAATGAGTGTATTGTTCTCACCACTTGTGCGCCTTACACTAATTTCGTTTTTGATTGTCGGCGAGTTGAAAAACGTCTAGTTTTCGAAACCTTTTCGCGTTGACAATATACTTAGTGAGCAGTGATCAATGCATGCTACACACACCTTTATGCCGTATATGATGCCCTGACCCAAGAGATGCTAAGGAACTAATACAAAACATTTCATGTTTGATGCCCAAGCCCGGGTAGTCACAGCGCCTCGTTTGACAGAACTCAGAACCCTTGCGTGGCACTTCCTTTTGTAAATCTCTTTAGCGCTACTCTTCGCAGAGACTACGTAGCGTCCCAAAGCTTTCTCAGAGGCCTTTCAGTGGTTTTCCATAGTGTAACTTTTTCCATTTCGCAAATTCTTCTACAGTAGTCTTTATGCGTCAACCGTATTTGCTTTTAGCTGTTAGCCTCGATGGTCACTGGCATATTTGACTCAGATGCGACTCATGCAGTCTTTCTGTCCACTTGTAAACATGCGCTCTGCAGCAATCTTGATTGCACTGAGGTGTGTGAATGTGAGATGTTAAACTAAGGGCGCTACTGGGATCGATCGGCATGGGCCTTTGTCAGGTTGACAGAGTCCTCCATAGGAAGGCCTTTGTGTGTGTGTAGACAGTTTCTATATGCAGTCGGTGAGATGAGAGGAGTTCAAACTTGCCCTTACCAACTGTAGAACGCAGGGGTCTACATGCGGTTAGAGAACTGCGATGCCTTCAAACTTGACTTTTCTCCACCGTTGACAGTTGACAATAGAAGTCTTGATCTCCACGTCGTTCAGTTCAACGTGTCTGTCACATTGCACTTACATTTACATGTCCTTGTTAGCTGTCAGCTTCGACGGTCACTGCAGTACACGACCCAGATACAACTCACACAAACTCTTGCTGTCAATTTGTACGTATGCATTCCGCTGTGACTCTGATCGGACTTAGGTGCATAGTGGTGAGACGTAACACTAAGGACCTTGTTGGCATTCCTTGGCTTGGACCTTAACCAGTTTGACTTAGGGCTCACCATCGTCACAGCATCCGTCGTTGTGCGCAGGTCTGTTCATGAATTCTGAGCCCTCCATAGGGAGGGCCCGGTGTGTGTGTGTAACCCGCTGTCACATGCGGTTGGAGACCTGATATGAATTTGAACTTTGACTTTTGTCAACATCTACATGTGGAGGAAGACTTCGAACTTCTTTTGTGTCACAACTAGAAAGTTCACTCATGAATTCTGATCCCTCCATAGCGAAGGCCCTGTGTGTGTGTAGCCCGCTTTTACATGCGGTTGGAGATCTGAGCTGATTTTGCACTTGAACTTTGAACTTGACCTTCTTCAACTGTCACAAGTGGAGGAGCATTTCGAACTTGCTGTGTTTTGATCATAGAGAGCAGGGGAGTGCGGCG